ATACATTTAAAACATCAAAAAAGTCTACTGTTATATAATATTTGGTACTTTTCTACCTAAATATTTAAAATTAAGAAATTCAAGACAAAAAATAAGATTTTATCGCTTTCTACCTATAAAACTATTACATCATTCTTAACAGTATAAAATGCTTATTAAATTCACAAGGAGAAAAATATATACATACAGCATACCATTTTAATAAACAAAATTGTTTGTTTTTAAAAAACAACAAGGACACAAATTTTATATTGTGAAAAATAACAAGATTCTAATTCGTAAATATTTAGTGGCCGAAGTATCCAATTTAAAAGTATAAATTAAAGAGAAGACAAAAATTCTGTCAATTATCTACAATATTAATAAATTATACAACAGAAATTTTTATTACATTTAATTAAATAGTTGCAAAGTAGATTATGTTTGTATTTAGCTCGATTTGGTAAATTGAACTTACAATAATAATAATTTGTACTAAGTAATTAATTAAAAACAAAAAACGTACATAAAAAGTTAGTTCATGATTTAATACTTACTCAAGCACTTTTAAATGAATTGTTAAATTGTTAACATTTTTTAGTTTCGAAATTTATATTAAATAATTCACGTAAAATAAAATAAGCACAAGAAGCTTAAACTCGTTAACGTTATTATCCAAATTCGAAATAGCTTTAAATAGAATATTTTTATTAATTTCACTCGTGTGCTTAAAACAAACAATAATTCAGTAACAACAAGACAAAAATTAAACAATTTATAATCACTGTTAAATACCTACGATTTAATATGCCATTTACTACTTTTTCTCGGATGAAAAGTAAAATAGTTGCATTCACAATAATAGTTACTACAAAAAGGAAACTTGCAAATGAATGACATACCTCCCTGCCTCTCTCAACGATTTCCATACAATTAAATTAGATTAACAACAGTTGCACCTCTGTGTTGTCCTTTCAAGAGTGGCTAATTTTCTGCTGCTCCTTCTCAAAACACTATTTCTATTACCATCACTGCTTCTGGTCGTTTTGTGGCCCAATTTACAATCAGCAGCTTTGGTAGCATGTTTTTGTTGGGTCTTTTTTGAAATTGCACCGTTCTTATTAACTTTACTGATGGTTTTGGTAATATTTTTAACTTTTTCAGGCCTCTTTCTCTCCTTATCAAGTTGTTGTTGATGCTGTTGCTGCTGCAAATCACTGTGACTCCTTGTAACCGCCTTAACAGATGAAAAAGACATATTTGTTGAAGGAACTTTTTTAAAAGCTTTCCTTTTTTTAATGATATCCTGCTTATCTGTCTTGGTACTCTTTTTCTCACTGACTTTATTATCATTGTTATTGTTGTTAAAATTGATGTGTGATTTGCTTTTTTCAATAATGATCGCTGAGGGCAAACTTGACACTCTACTAGTCATTATTCTTTGCAGAGCCCGAATTTTCTGTCTAAGAACGACTTTGTTAACACTTAGCAGTTTCTTCTTCGATTTAGTCACCTTCAGAACAGGAGCCTTCAATTTTGGATACTTCCTCCTCGTTTCCACATCTGTCATCGTCTTTACTTTCGGTTGTTGTTTCTTTTTAGCGACTGCAGGCAAGCTACTGTTTGCCCTCATTCTTTTCCTAGGTGCAATCTGTCGAATTTCGTCGTTGCTGCTGTTTGTGTTGATTAAACGGCGTTTTCGGCCCCTCAGCCATGCGTTTTCTTTCAATTTTGCGCTGGTAGTGCTCCGAAGACTGTCCCTGATGTTGCTTTTGGGAACAGGCTTTTCCTGGGGCGGCCTCGAGGGCCCCTGTCCGTTTTTTGAATCGTTCTCGCTCTGAGATTCCTCCTTCTTTGGACTTTTATTGTTTTTAGACTTTGTTTTCTGATTAGTTGATATCCTGGTTTCAACCTTGTTGGTTCTGTGTGTCTTAATAGTGTAACTTTCCGATTTGGTTTGACTGTTAACAGTTTCTTCTTCTATTTCGAAATTGTCGTTTGAACTAGACGATATTTCATGTATTTGAATGTTCTCTGAGGATTTTGTGCTCTTCGATACTTCGTGATCTATTGAAGAAGATGAGCAACAACTGCTAAGATCTTCGGAATCCGATGTAGAAGGTTTCCTGACTTCGTACGACAGACTTTCGCGTGTTTTCTCCGTAAAATCCAAATCTATATCATTCAGATTCGTTGTAGACTTAAAAAAGATGTCATTTTCCACAGTTAACGTTTTCACTTCTTCCACATTTTCTGTTTCTTTATCTTCAACGTTTTTTTGCGTTTGCTGTTGTAATTCCTCATCTCTATTATTATTTCTGGTAATTTTCTGGCACACGTTAGGTACTTCGTCCTCCTCAGGCACTTTTTCAACTTCTTTTTCTTTTTCCTCAAAATCTTTAGACGTTTTTCCATCGTTATCTTCATAACGAGTTACAATTTTCAATCCACTGTCAGGATAGGCGTTATTTTTCTTTTTATTTTTTAATACTTGCGCTCTAGGAGGTCCTGGGGGGTCAAGCATGAGAGTAACAACCGAGGTATTGTCAGCGCGCATCTTGGTCGTAGACCACCTTTCAAGAGCTTTCTCCACCAAGCATTTGCTTGGATTTAACCAGCCAACTTTATTAGGATCATCACTCAAGGCTGCGTTCTCGTTGTGCCTTTCAGCCTGCTGAACTATGTGGACAGCCATTTGTGGACTCAACATGTTGTACAAGCCGTCCGTACCAAATATTAAACATCTAGAGAAAGAAAAACAGTAGAATGAATAATTGTTAGATTTTAGCACAATAGCAATGAAACAAAATGCACGTGAACATCGCTGCATTTATTTAAGAATGTTAAAAACAAAACACAAATCACCTGAAAGTGCTAGTATCGATTGGAATTACTGAACAGTCTGGATCTGGTGAAACAACAAATTCATCAAGTTGAGAGTTGTATGACCACAGATCACCTAAACTCCTAGCAACAGCCAAGAAAGGTATTTCATCAATTGGAGTTGATCTACGAACTGGACCTTGATGTCCTATACGAGGTCTATTCCATACAACCCTAGGAACCCCTGACTTTAAGACTACTTTTCCTCCACATGATTCAATTCTAGACATCTCCAGTGCACTTTCAGGTTTGTGTTCTTTGGTTAGAGGTTTTGCTTTCCACTCTGGGCATCCAGGTTCTTGATAACCTTTAATTTTAAATTTGCTTATTGATAAATGCTTGACTGATGAATACAATGACGTAACCTCAAATTACATTTTAACACATACTAACTAAATACTAACTTCAAACCCTAAAAAGCACACCTACCTAATATGATACCAGAGTCTCCCACATGACCTATATAGATTTTCCCTCGTCTTATAAATGCCACACTTGCTGTCGTTCCAGCAGTACTAGGAAGACCAGAAGCTGTCTTTGGCCATTTTTCTAATAAAACATACTTAAATTATTGATCATAAGTAGCAAATACCTACTATATCAAGCAATTTAACTGTAGCATTAAATCATACTGTACAATGCACTGTAACATTTGCGTTGTTTCAATTACTTTTGTAGTACTAAAACATGAATGTGCACCTTGTTCTTTCCACATAGCATAATGAGTTCCAATGTAACCATCTTTAATTGCTCTTAAGACATCTATATCATTGTCAGACCAAAAATTTTTCTGTTTCACAATTGTTTCCATTAAATGTTCCTTCGCAAATGCCGCAGCCTCGGCACCACCGTGGCCATCGTATATTCCAAAAAATGCATATTCCAAGTCCCTTTCATCCTCTGTTTGCTGGTAGGCTACAGAGAAGAAATCTTCCATGTACTTTCTCCCGCCTTGGCGACAATGTCCAGTAACCCTCAGGTTGACGCCGATTGATGCAGGCATTTTTGCGAATTAGAGTTGACCCTATAAATTCAATTAATAAACCTTTATCAAGTACGGTGCATTAGAGGTTTGAAATTTTTTAGGAGAAAAACCATACTGTTTTGGAGCGTAACTGACATCACTTAAAAAATATGTCAAATGCTACGACACTTTACGAAATCGGAACATATTACGTCTCTTTTTAATCAATAGGAAATATCCTCTCTTTCACACATCGTCCCTCAACGTACGTCCTGAATAGTTCAACAAATTATAATCAAAAAATACTATGCAGGGTTTTATGGATAATCAATGATAAAAATAATATATAATAATGAATAAAAATATATAAATAACGTTATTAGTATTTAATTGTTCTTAAATGTAGTATTATAAATTACTTTCTATAGATAAAAAAGGTCCAGCATGACGTAACCTTGAAGTTTTTCATCTATGGTAAACGGCCTTGAACATAACCTCATATAACCTATTAAAAAGTCGTTACAAAAATATATATTTTTATTTTTTATTATTAAAATTATGAGTGAACCAAAGAAAAAAAGCTATACTGACGAAGAGAGGTTGCAATTGGCTGCGAAGTTGGATAAAGAGTTAGATAATTTTATCAATAGTCTTGAAAAGAAGCAATACACTGAGGGATGGCCAGAAGACCGGTGGCAAGAAGTAAAATATTTATACTATTACTACTCTATTTGAACATACAATAAACGTTCAAATATATATTATATATAACCTTAGGAAATGGAGAAACATCCTTTTTTTATGACAAAGACTCCAGAACCTGGAGAAGAGCTTCATCCCTTATTAGAAGGGATTCAGCAATTAAAGTACGACCCTGATGAGAATACACCTGAAGGTTTCCCTACATATCATTTTTGGTTAAAGTTCTCTACAATATCTTGCGTTTTTAGACTTGGCCAGATCTTACAAAGAAGATGGAAATTTCTATTTCAAAAATAAAAATTATAGAATGGCATTTTACTCTTATACAGAAGGAATAAAAACAAATTGTGAGGATTCAGAAATCCTTGCTTCCTTGTACAATAATAGATCAGCAGCCAGTTATTTCCTTAAGAATTATAGGCAAGAATAATTATAAAGATCTTATTGTTTTTCGCTTACTTTGTCATGCTTTTAGGTCTTGTTTAAATGACTGTAAATTAGCCTTAAAGTTGAAACCCAATTATGACAAAGTAATTACCAGAGCAGCTCATTCTTGTCTTGAATTAAAAAAGTTTGATGAATGCCTTAAGTATTGTGACTCACTGTTAGAAAAGAAAACAGATTGTAAAGAAATTTTAAATTTGAGGCAAAAATGTTTACTGTCATTAAAAGAGAATGCCAGGGACTCCAGGAAAAAGGAGATGCAAGAAAAGAAAAATCAGGAATTGGAAGAAAAACTTGTACAGGCAATTACATCAAAAGGAATCAATGTTGAAGGGGGAAAAGGTTAAAAGAAACGATTTTTTTTGTTAGTTAATTTCCCTTTATATATCATTAAATGGGTTTTTAATAATTTTAGCTAAATATCATATGATAAATTTGTAGGAGGATTAAGTTTGGCCAGTCTTGAGCCCCATTTCCCAGAAATAATGAACAATAGAGTTTTTTTGGATGCAGATAATAAATTAATTTGGCCAGTCATTATTATGTATCCAGAGTATCAAATAATGGATTTTATTCAACAGTTTCATGAAGATCACACGTAATATATTCTAATCATTTTTACTTAAAAACATTAAACACTATAATTTATTTTAGATTTTCTGACCACATTTCAGAAGTTTTAAAAGAACCTCCTGCCTGGGATACTTTAAAAACTTACAGACCAGACAATGTTAATTTGTATTTTGAGAATGCTACAATAAGAAAAATATTCAAAGTTGACTTAAGTAATTCATTAGGAAACGTTTTAAAGCTCAAAGAGTTAGTATTTCTTGATTAATTTTGTACAGATGTTTCATAATTCTTTTGTAGGTTTCTTTTACGTGGTGGGACTCCTTCTTTTTTGTGTTTTGTTAAAAACAGTCCAACTGAGCAAAATTTCCTAAAACAATATTAATAAGTCTACTTTTTATTATATGTAAGTAAGTTTGCATTGCATAAGTAGTACCTACGTTTTTATATAAGAACAATTTTTTTTTTAATAAATAATTCTTTACATGTTTAAAAGTATATTCAGTTTGATGATGCATATCCTTACTTTAGGTTTTTCGTTTAAGAAAATATTCCACTTTTAAAACATTCGTAACTTTTTGCTATTTAAGTAATTTAGTAAAGAAATATACATTTTAAAACTCATTTGCACCATTTTTCGCTACTTTACTTTATCATGTTGTTTTGAAAAGAATGCTAATTATTAATGAGGATTTTCATCTTAAGGGGAAGCATATCGCACTGAATCAACAATTTTCTTTTATATGTTTACTGTTTACACATCTATAGCTGACGTAAAAGCTACATAACTCGGAAAAAAACTATTAGAACTGATAACGCGCATATTTTTTTGATCCTGTATTCTTGAAAAGTACATGAGACATACTTTCGTCACAGGGATTAACATTTATTAAATTATTACCTTTTGCTTTTGGTTTTCTTATTATTTTAACAAGCAATAGGTAAACTACAAGTAGTGTTTTAATATGCAGTTTTGGAAACACTTTGATGTAGGACAGTTTTATTTAAGCAATTTTATTATTGTAATTTTTCTTCGTAAATATTTCAACTAAGTAATAAATAATTTCCTCTATTTTGAACAAAATTTAACATTTATTAAGCATGTAAATACTGAGTCATCAGTTTATAATCACTGTGTACCTTTTATGATCGTGAATACAGGTCATTAAAGCAAGTTTGAGTGTTGTTGAAAGGCTTCTTATTTGTTATTATCTAAGAGTATTAAAATAGACCTGCAGGAAGTGTTTTACTACCTTTTGAAAGCGTATGAGATGCTGTAAAAATAAAATGCGTGGTTAAATTGAACTATTGTTTAAGTTAATCAAAGTATAAGGATAGCTTAAGGTAATTAGTGGTAAAAGTAGATGATGATGTGTGCAAGTAATTTAGATAAAGTTTTTCCATTTCCAAAATAATACGTGTACAGTTGAATACCACATGACAGAGTTTGTTTGCATTATTATTTTTATTTGCGATTTGTTTTTAAATAATGTACAAATAAACCCACGCAAGTAATTTTCTCAAGTTAGTATCTGCCCAAACAAAAGTAAAACTATTGTTTTCACTTCTAGAAATACTTTTTTTTATATTTTCTTTCTTTTGCTACGTCACTTTCTTTAATTAAATTCATCCCGCACTTTATCTTTGTTAATCTTAATTGCTCTCACATCTGGGGATTTCTATAAATACGGAAAATTGAGTACCATTTTAAAACAATTACGAACGAACGACAAGATTTTCCGCAGATGTGCAATTGAAGAATTGTATTAAACTGTGGTGTATTTTTTCGAAATTAATAAGTGTTTTATTGAAAATATGAGAAGCATTTACAGTAAGTCTTTTGTTTAATATTTTTTTTTTTAATAAACTCGCTTAGTAAATTTTTTATACAAATTGTATTATTCCAATAAGTTAATATTTTCTTTTTCCGCTCAGGTTTCATAATTATTTCAACTATTTTACTTCGTTATCACGAAACAAATGCTACTTTGTCCTCACGTGAGTAACCACATATTGTCAGCATTTTCCGGGATAGTTTTAGAAATTTTAATTAATTTTAGAATGTCCAGCGATAGATTCCGTAAATGTTACTTATCTGAAACATGAAACAGATTGCGACAAGTTCTACAAATGTACAAATGGTAGAGCAGTATTGTTTAATTGTCCGGTAGGACTTCAATTCAATCTCCAACTAGGGGTCTGTGACTATCCTGCGAATGTTAACTGTATTGGTAAGCTATCACAGCAAAATAGGTTCTTAAAAAATTACTGTTAATTGCGAAACTTTTAAAATAGTTACGGATTCAGTTGTGGTTAACTCGGAATCTACCACTAACACCAACACTCCTCTTCCTTCATCGGAGTCTTCATTCGCCGGTAAAACCCCATCGCCGTCTCTTACACAAACTGTTGCCAATGTGATTACTACAGTTGTTGACCTAATACTACCAAAAGAAGCATCTACAACACCAAGTGGGCCTAGTGTTGAAATCAATACTGTAACTGTAAATCCAAATCAACCAAATGTCCCTCAGGAACTAGCTGTTACGTCCGACAGTTCAAATCCTGGAGTAACTGAAGCTCCTGTGGTGGGCACTATTAGTTCTCAACTAGTAGATACACTTGCAACTGACGCAAGTCGACCAGTAGGACCATCGAATGCAAACCCTTCAAATACTGTTGACCTTCAAGAACCAGCAACAACAGTCGGAAATATAGATCCGACAGCCACAGAAACCCCCTTTTCAGACACAACTAGTTCACAAATAGTAGATTTCCCGTCAAACCAACCACCAGTTGGTTCTACTAACACAACTAGTCCAAACGTAGACCAACAACAACCCAATGATGCTGCAAATCCATCAGTTCCTGCGACCCTCAATTCAACACAAAATCCAGCAGTAATTATTGACGAGTTGAATCCAGGAATAACTAATAGTCCCCCTGTAGAAAGTACTGGAGCTGGATCACCCAATGTAGCCCAACCCGGAGGTAATCCTTCCGAACAAGTGTCAAACGTGGACCAACAACAACCCAGTGGTGCTACAGAACAATCAGTTGTTGATACTCCCAATTCAACACAAAATCCAGCAGTAATTATTGATGAGTTGAATCCAGGAATAACTAATAGTCCCCCTGTAGAAAGTACTGGAGCTGGATCGCCCAATGTAGCCCAACCCGGAGGTAATCCTTCCGAACAAGCGTCAAATGTGGACCAACAACAACCCAGTGGTGCTACAGAACAATCAGTTGTTGATACTCCCAATTCAACACAAACTCCAGCAGAAATTATTGATGAGTTGAATCCAGGAATAACTAATAGTCTCCCTGTAGAAAGTACTGCAGCTGGATCGCCCAATGTAGCCCAACCCGGAGGTAATCCTTCCGAACAAGTGTCAAACGTGGACCAACAACAACCCAGTGGTGCTACAGAACAATCAGTTGTTGATACTCCCAATTCAACACAAAATCCAGCAGTAATTATTGACGAGTTGAATCCAGGAATAACTAATATTCCCCCTGCAGAAAGTACTGCAGCTGGATCGCCCAATGTAGCCCAACCCGGAGGTAATCCTTCCGAACAAGTGTCAAACGTGGACCAACAACAACCCAATGGTGCTTCAGACCAATTAGTTACTGATATTCCCAATTCAACACAAAATCCAGCAGTAATTATTGACGAGTTGAATCCAGGAATTACTAATAGTCCCCCTGCAGAAAGTACTGGAGCTGGATCGCCTAATGTAGCCCAACCCGGAAGCAATCCTTCCGAACAAGTGTCAAACGTGGACCAACAACAACCCAGCGTTGCTACAAATCAATCAATTGCTGCTAATTCCAGTGCATCACAAAATCCGGGAGTAATAATTGACGAGTTAAATCCAGGAGTAAGTGGTGGTTCCTTAGTAAACAGTACTGGAACTGGATCGGGCAATGCAGCCCAATCTGGAAATCCATCTGTACAAGCACCAAATGTAGACCAACAACAACCCAGCGTTGCTACAAATCAATCAGTTGCTGCTAATTCCAGTACATCACAAAATCCGGGAGTAATAATTGACGAGTTAAATCCAGGAGTAAGTGGTGGTTCCTTAGTAAACAGTACTGCAACTGGATCGGGCAATGCAGCCCAACCTGGAAGTAATCCATCTGTACAAGCACCAAATGTAGACCAACAACAACCCAGCGTTGCTACAAATCAATCAGTTGCTGCTAATTCCAGTGCATCACAGAATCCGGGAGCAATAATTGACGAGTTAAATCCAGGAGTAAGTGGTGGTTCCTTGGTAAACAGTACTGCAACTGGATCGGGCAATGCAGCCCAACCTGGTAGTAATCCATCTGTACAAGCACCAAATGTAGACCAACAACAACCCAGCGTTGCTACAAATCAATCAGTTGCTGCTAATTCCAGTGCATCACAGAATCCGGGAGCAATAATTGACGAGTTAAATCCAGGAGTAAGTGGTGGTTCCTTAGTAAACAGTACTGGAACAGGATCGGGCAATGCAGCCCAACCATCTGGCGGAACTAGCGTCAATGCGGGCGGTGAATTGGACAGTGCTTCCCATCCTGGAAGCTCCTCTTCTGCACAATCTCCAGCTAATGGCAGTAATAGGCCCACTAACTCTAATGAAAGTAATAATGACGACGATGACAATGGTAACGACAACAGTGATGAGACATCACCAAAAAGCAAAGAAAACAACAGTAACATAGACGATGACGATAACAAGGAAAATAGTAGGGAAAATAGCGAGGATGAAACAGAAAATAAAAGCGGAAACAAATTCAATAAGGAGAACGACAGTGATGATGATAGTAACGAAAGTAAGCAGAAAAAAGAGAAAAACGACGAAGACGACAGCAGTAACAGTAAAGAGAAGAAAGGAAAAATTCGTGCAGTAAATAAAATTCTCAGCAAAATTAATAAATTAAGAAGTAAATTGAGTAAATTAGCACAGCAGGAGAAGCTGAACCAGGGCAGCGACGAAGATAATAGTTATGAAAAGAAACGTGGAATTATCATTGCTAAAATTAAAAGCTTAGTAAAGAAAGAACGACTTTTTAAAGAAGATAGCAACGAAAGCAATTAAAAACATGAATTGGGCATATTATATAGATTCATATTTATAATTTAAAATATATATATATGTTATCACTAACAAAATTTTATTGCAGACTGTCTTTGATTTTCTTTTATCTTTTTTTAACGAACAAAGTACCATATACATTTAAAACCAGAAGTATTTATTTTGCCGAAAACAAAACTACATTTTAATTAAATGAAACAAGCAAACAGTTTTTTTTTTTGAGTTGAGTTAGAGTAAATACAATTAAGTATTAATATTATTAGACAAAAACTAATAAACCTTAATTAATAATTATTGTCAGAATATACATATCTGAACATTCTAAAAGAAAATTAATTTGTACTAGTTACTTTAAGTTATACATTTATAGTTAGTACATATGTAAGAGTATCTTTATAGTTGAAGAAACACCGTTTCTAGTGTATAAATTCTACAAAAAAGAATGAGTAGAAAGTTATCAAAATTGGTGTTAACATTCACAGTGGTTCAGCAGCAATAAAAACATTCTTGATAAGAATTGGTACTTAAAAAAAATATACGCCTGACTACTTACAATAAAGAATAATTAAGTTTTGTACTATAATAAATAATAAAAGGTCTACTGGCCATCATAGACAAATCACAAACATATAAATAAATTAAAGATCTTTCTTGTGGGTATGTCTATAATTACAATTTATGACTTGTGTAAATTAAATTAATTAGGAACAAATAGCCTCAATATCTGAGATTCCAAAACCTATGTACTCTTTAAGCATTAATAACTGGTACCAACTCTTGAAGGAGTCTACAAACTACACTAAATAATTGTTAAAATAGAACTTAAGGGGGTGGATCCTTGCATATTTTAGAAGCCATTTCACTCAATGGCTCCAGTTCTTTTCTACTGACCAGATCAAATTCTGTTACAAAATAGTAGAAATGCTTGTAACAAGTATTAACGTGAGCCTCCTAAAATGTTTTTATTATTTGCAAATGAATTACATTAGGAGGATTGCAATAACTTAC